ATCTAATCGCAGAGAAGAATACAAACATTGTCTTGTATATGTTGAGACCAAATTGGGTGCAAATTTGAAAGATAGTAAAAAGAATTGTTTTATAAAACATATGAGTGTATTTTAACCACATATCCGGTCTCATCTTTGACGATGAAGACGCAGACAGACTTGAAGAAGAAAGCCGATCAGCAATCAGCAATCTCACCTTCCAGCCCTCTTCTCCCTTGGATTTGAGTTACATGCCTGGTGCTATATTCCATTCCTTTCGGAACCGTGCTGTGGGTGATAAGTTCAGTGCAATATTGCTAGAAGCTCTAGATTCAGAAGGTCGCACACCAGAACTTGAAGACCGGGCTAAAAATGAGCGGCGCAAGGTTCGGTTCTCGTATATTTGCTCCGAGATCATCGCATCCGATATTTGGAACCACACCTTTCAAACTTTTGCTCAGGTATTGTGTGTGGCGGAGAAACCCTCGATAGCTCAAGCAATCACAGAGATAATCGATTTCAAATCGTGAGAACAATCTGGTCAACACCTCACCCGTCCGAACTTGTCAGGAAGATGCCCAAGGGAAGCACTTGAACTGACATTTGAGAAACTGCAACACATTCTTCTTTTGTGTGGGTCATCAAAAGCGACAATCACCAAATAGATATGTCAAAAACTTTGACTTCACTTATTGTCTTCTTCCTTCGACTCAGCAAATCAGCTTTACCGCCACTTCGCTCTTGGGCCATTTAACTCAGTCTTACTTCGATGCACATCACAAAAAATGGTCAAATTGTGACCCGTTTGCCTCGTTCGACATGCCAATCAAGCGTTTTGTCACCCCTGTGCGTGAAATGGATCACGCGCCTTCCGTGGTCCTCATGATCAGTACTGACCATCTCGAATTCAAGAGAATAAAGGTATTGAACATAATCTGCAGGCCGAAGCTCAAGGATCCGATCGATCGATGATATAGACAGATTGTGATAGAGAAGGCGAGCACATCGGTTCTGAGATCAAGTCCGTATGTCTGAAGGCCAACCGGAACATTACTGTCTCTTGGGCTCGCTTCAGTGTGATCATCCCTGCGTGCGTATCAAGTTTCCCCTTTACAAGGCTTCACTGTCAATTGAAATGAAGGTTGCTGGTAGCTACATATGAGGCGCTATAGGGCGCTCTGCTGTGCTCTGTCGCTAAGCGCTCGCAGCCGCTGTGGCGGCTCATAGCACAGCGGGAGATCGCTATACAGAGCGGATATCCAAACCGCTATACTTATTTGGGTTTCACCATAGCTATAGCAGTGCGTGAAACCCGCTATATCTGAAAAGGGCTAGCGCGGGCGGAGCGCGCGCTCCGCTACCGCCGCGCTCACGCTATCCCAGGCGGAGCGCCGGTGGTGTTGCTGGAAGGTCCTAGGCCTGCAAAAGGAAAAGCGCTCGATTGCCTGGGCGGAGACCATAGCGGTAAGGCTTGGTCTATTAGTCCTGAGTAAGGTCACAAGCGTGAGGGGAAGATCGTTCTGGGTTGAGACTGACAATACTACCACAGAACACACTATCCGCAAGAGGAAGTGTAAAGACAAAAGAGTGAATAATGAGTGGAAGGAAATTCAGCGTCTACTTTCGGTTTTAGGGTGTAACATCAAGGAGAAACAAGTTACCTCTAAGAACAATGATGCGGATGGCTTATCCCGTGGCAAGGCGGCGGGCCTACAATGGTGGAAAGAAGTGCTAGTTGAGGTGCCGAGAGACTTGAAACCCTTCCTTTCACAAGTTACTCCGCCAACGGAGATGAACGTTTAATAATTCCAAGATCGTCTTTTGTTAGATCGTCGTTTTTCCACTATCCATGCGATTGTACATAGCCGTGTGCCTTGTTCGATTCTTTTAAATCAATCCCTCATAATTCTTAGCAAATGACAAAGAGAAAATCAAAAACGAAGTCAAAGACTCCCCTAATTGAATCAAAGTCCGATAAAGAGTTAAGAAAAATGACCAAACCCTTTGGAGCCTTCAAAAAGAATGCCTTGGGAGTGGATATCTCGGAGACAAACGAAGTGCAGAAACACTTCCTAAGAGGGGCATGGAATGACGGAACACTTAAGCATTACAATTCAGGGATCGTGAAACTGATGTGGTTTGCTGAAGTCAAAAACGTACCGAGAAGCAACCTCTTACCAATCTCGACAGATACACTACTACACTTCATTGTATGGGGATCCAAGAAGGGTGATAATCTAGCAAAAGAAGACGAATCGGTCAAGTCCTCAACGATGAAAGCATACCTCGCAGGCGTTAGAGCGTGGCATCTTTTCCACCAAAAAGGATTCCCGTCGGACTCGGATGCTGCGGTGAAAGGCCTCCTGAAAGCATCGCAAATGGTGGAAATACGGGCCAAAGAAGTCGAGAAACTTAGGCCACCGGTTATGGTCTCTGACCTGAAGGTCCTAGTCGATAACTTGTCAGTCAATATCAAACACGAATTGGTACTACTAGCCATTGCTTTAGTAGCGTTCTGGGGAACATGCCGACTTGGCGAGTTAGTATCTGATGGAGATGGGAGACGAGTGCCGCGCTGGAGAGACCTCGCGTGGTCGGTAGACTGGTCCTATGCGACGATAGCCATACACGGAGCCAAGACGGCGGAACCGGGCAAGGTCCAATACATTCAGATTAAGAAGCAAAAGTCAAAGTTGGATGCCTTCCGAGTACTACGCCTGTTGGATTTATTTAGACCGCGGTTTGGAGATGAACCTATCTTCTCTTGGAGAGGTGAACAAGACGACCGTGTCTGGGAGTATAAGAAGAGTACCGTGATATCGACTTTGAGGGGTATCTGGAATGTGAACAGACCGATGAATAAGCAGCTACTATACGGTCACTCATTTCGTATCGGTGGAGCCTCACTAAGGTGGAACTTAGGAGCGACAAGAGAGGAGATTAAAGAAGTAGGAAGGTGCAAATCAGATGCCTAAAAGATCTACTTGAGAAAATATGACCCAAAGGAACTGAAAGAGACGGTCAGATTGTTGAAAGAATTGAGGGTGGAGGACTAGGTTGTGAGTATTTGATTATTGAGGTTTCTTCGAAGGGAAACACTGATGATGATCCAAAACGTCATAAACTGAACTCAGATCGAAAGGGAAGAGGAGGTGGTTCCGTTTTGGGACACTCCAAGAGCTGACGGTTCACGCAACAGAAGACTACAAGGGCTAGTAGACAGTTGGCTGAGTGTCTAGGTGGGCAAATGAAGTAGTTTCCTCATGAGATCGAGTGTAAACTCCATTTGGGGACCACCGCGAGTGTCTACAAGGTTTATGATCTACAAGGAATCCTTGAAGCGGCATGGAATTTAAGTTTGAAACCAGATTAGAGTTTGATTGAATCACCCCGGTTAATACAATCAGGAGTTGAGCCCTCGAGACAAGGCTTGACTGTAAGTCTACGGCTGATAGCCCGGGTAGTTGTCAACGAGTGGTGGACCCCTATGTGGGAGGAAGTAAGGTCATTAGATTGGGAGAGGGTTTTGGGACTCACGAGAGTCGAGGTTAGGGCGGTTTGACTCCTCCGGCTCACGGCTCGCCCCCCCGTGAGTCATGGGGTTGAGGAGTCAGCCCTCCTCAGGCCTACTCTCGTCCCCAGGGGTGATAAATCTGGTTGCGATGTCCATTGCTCCCCTCATTTATCACCTCCAGGCCCCCCCCCCACACCACACAGAGTAGGATGTTAGTTGCCTATAGAATTATGTTCTACTGTGGTAGATTAGACCTGTTGAGTAATGACAACATAAAGCTCTCTCGAGAAGAGAGAGCTTTACAAAAGAAGATCCTTAGGTTTCACCTAAGCCTCACAGACACACCCCTTGACTCTACCCTACGCGAGAATGGATCCTCAGATATCTTTCACGTTTGCAGAAACAATCTCACTTGAGGTCATGAGACAGAGAAAATAACGAGAAAATTCAATCTCAACAGGGAAATTGAGCACAAAACGCGAGAAACATTATGATATAGAAAAGATCATTGATACTTATGAAGATACTCAAAAGAACAATATTTGCCTATGCAATTAGCTTGTTACAGGAAGGCTATCATTTCAATTGTTGTCGGCTTCAGGTAATTTCCTTGGCCGGCTTGCCTTACGCTTTGTAATATTGTCTTGCGTCTTCAGCTCGTTCCTTGGCCGACCTCGCCGGCGCTTCTTGATATTGTTCCGGCTGATTCACTTGGCCGGGGCTTCTTTACCGCGTTCCCGCCTTTGGCTGATTCCTTTGGCCGGCGCTTCTTTACAGTGTTCCCGTCTTGGGTTATTGTCTTTGGCCGGCCTCGCCCGCGCTTCATGAGTGGTGGAGAGCTGCTGTCTTCATCTTTTTGCACCTTTTGCATTTATGAATCAAAAAAAACCAATTCAGATCAAGAGAAAGAATAAAAATCAAGAAAGGCTACGAATTTACATCATGTATGGCTTGTGTAGTCCTCGGCCCACCATGCCCACACTTCTGGCCTGATTGAGCTTTGCTTGCCTCACCAATTATATCATGAATAGGAACAGGGTTGGACTTGAGTTGATCATTGAAAATCTGGAATTGCGATCGATAGAATTCACATTGTGACTTCATCTGTGGCATTTATAAATCCACAGAAAAACGATTCAAAGTTCAGGTCAGTTCCAGGCGTGAACAAGTCATGGGGGAAACATAGGTCTTCAGTTGAAAAGGGTCAGAACAGCATTACCTTGTGTGCCTCGCTTTGCATGTGTTCTTCTGGCGTTTCAAGCAGCTTCATCTTTGATTGACATAGGAAACAAGTACAACCAAATATGAATTTTGTTGGTTCTAAATCAAGAAATTCGTCATTTCCAGAAACGGAGGTTGTCATTTCAGCAGTATTGACTTCTTGAGTATTCACTTCTCGAATCTTTGCAGATGATAGTTGTAGTCGAATTAAGGTAGGTGAGCTGCTGGATGAGGTTGTCACTTTACCTGGATTGATGACAATTGGACGTATAAATCATGTCAGTGATCACTTCATATCAGGATGACAACCACAGAAGAAGAAACAGAAAATACTTGGATTAGCTGTATCAACACTTTTGACAGTGTGCAAGTTTTTGGTGAGTTGATTATTGAGAGTCTCCATTGATTTTGGCTCATTGTTTTTGAGGATGTTTCCATTAGCTGTATCGACAGTTTTGACAATGTGCAAGTTTTTGGTGAGTTGATTATTGGGAGTCTCCATTGATTTTCGCTGATTGTTTTTGAGGATATTTCCATTAGCTGTATCGACAGTTTTGACAGTGTGCAAGTTTTTGGTGAGTTGATCATTGAGAGTCTCCATTGATTTTGGCTCATTGTTTTTGAGGATGTTTCCATTAGCTGTATCGACAGTTTTGACAATGTGCAAGTTTTTGGTGAGTTGATTATTGGGAGTCTCCATTGATTTTCGCTGATTGTTTTTGAGAATATTTCCATTAGCTGTATCGACAGTTTTGACAGTGTGCAAGTTTTTGGTGAGTTGATTATTGAGAGTCTCCATTGAGTTTCGCTCATTTTTTTTGACGATATTTCTATTAAGGCTATAATTCACTTTGATAATGAAATCGGATCCTTCAGGAGCTGAACCATCAGGATACTTCCAAGGAATACTAGGGGAAAACCGATCGATAAAACTCTGAGCATGCTCTAGACTATGGAAGAGAGCAAAACCATAGCATTTGCTTAAGCCAGTCATGTGATCATATATAATTCTGGTGGATTGTACTTGAAAACCAAGTGATGCCAAAAGTTTCTTCAAATCATCTGCATCAGCCCGAAGCGGTAAGCATTTGAAGTGTACTGAGATAGAAGGTGGTAGTAGTTTGATTTCTTTCGATTCCCCTGTAGAGGCTGGTACTGGAGCAGACATGAATGTAAAAGTTTGATAGCCACAGAAGTTGTAAAAGTTGTGAATTCAGAGATCGAGTTAGGTCCAAATTGAATAGATAATGAGCTGGATATAATCGTTTGAGTATTTGATGATGATAAAGTTGAAGATCAAAATGTTTATCAAATAATTTTTCTAGACTAACTTTTGGGATCACAGAGGATTTTGAGGATATCGAGAAAAAATCAAAATCAAGTTCAAGTTGAAATTTGAATTTCTAAATACAACTAAACAAGACTTCAAAGCCGAGATGAATCAAAGCCGAGATCAAAGAAAATCAAAGCCTTGATAAATGGAAAATCAAAGCCTTGATAAATGGAAAATCAAACCCGAGAAAAAAGAAAATTAAACTTACAACATATAGTAACTAATCCCCTTCCTATCCCTTTACAAACATATTTTATCATCCGTCTTTGTCTTCCAACAAAACCACCGCGCTTCGCTCCGCTGCGCTATATTTCAAAATTTTACGAGCGGAGCGATTAAGCGCTATGATAAAACGCTAATCGCTCCGCTCTGAATATCGCGAAGGTATGAATTTCCAGAGCGGAGCGATAGTGCGCTCCGCTAAGCTCAATAATTGGGACAAATAGCGCTTGAGAGCGCGGTCAAGTGTTTTTACGCCGGTTCAATTACATTATCATTGACTGGCAGAGTGGGGATGGGGTGTTAGGGGATTGAAAAAAAGGTGAAGAAACGCGCACAAGTGTCATAAAGACAAGGATCGATAGAAAAGAAGATAAAACACGCGCACAAGTCTCATGAAGAGGTTATCAAATATCGATGAAAAAAGAGAAAAACGCGCACAAGTCTCGTGAAGAGATGATCAAAGATCGATAGAAAAAAAAAAGAAAACGCACACAAGTCTCAAAATGAGGTTATTAAAGATCGATAAAAAAAGGAGAACCGCATTTTTTTTTGAATTTTTTAGGTATTTTTTGATTGAAGATTGAGTAAGAAATAAAGTAAAAAGGGATTGAAATAAGAACTACTTTTTAGCCTTCTTGATGTTAGAAGCTTCATAAGCTTGCACAAACGCTACAGCCTCTGCAAATTTACCAGATAATGTTATCTTGGCCTTCAACCACTCACGTACACCAACTAGTTTTTGGATCATCTTTGCTGTTAAAGAAGCACGACCGGGTACTGCAATATCTGCAGCGGACGAACACGTCCTCTTGCACGCAGCAGAAGTGCCCGACAATCCTAGATAATCACGGGCCATCGATGTGAGGTCAGGGAAGTCCTTTTCATGCTCCTGCAAGCAAGCAAAGAAATCAGATAAGTGAATGAAAGACTAGAAATTAGATAAAAGAGCTGACCTTCCACCATGCCAACACTGGGTAAGCTGAGCCCACGGGAGCTGAAGCGCAGCGGTTTTCATACCCCGCTGTGTTCCTTCGGAGCGTAGCTCCTTCTATGACCACACCGCAGAGCTACGGGCCCCGGCAAAAAGTGTTTTTTTTCAAAAAGCTACGCTGCGGCACGGGCAGCACCGTTATCCGGCACCGTTAGCTCCCGTGCCGGGGTCAAAATTCCCAATGTGTATGAAACTTCCCTTTTCCTAATCTGGCACCTATACGGCACTAAATGATCACGCAAGGATGCTATATAACTCGATCTGGACACCTCATTGACGCATGCGGCGTCACCCACAGGCCAGGGAGTCGATGGTGATGATATATTCAATGGTCATCAAGGTAAGGTTTGACCCTTCTCTTTTCTCACACATCCCACTCTTTATTTGATTCGTAATAGTATCAGTTTACAACTTTTTCACTTATTGCTTTTACTCTTTGTCACTTTTCTTTTACCTCACAATCCTATAGCATCCTTTTCCGATGTCCTCTGTCACCTCCGAACGGCCAGCGCGGTCTCGCACACAGACCAGCCACCCTGGAATGATCCCACAGAGTCCCGATTTACGCCGTCGAGCTTTGATCGAAACCATCATCCAAACCAAGATCAAGTCTAACAAACGAAAGAATCAATCAACTGATTCTGTCGACCTCATCACCTCTGATGAAGAGTCTGAGGCTGGAGTGGTTGAATCAGAAGGCAGCTTGAAATCGGTGCTCAGCAAGCCAAAGAAGCGATCAAAACCAACCGAGGTTAGTTCATCCCTCTTAAACTCGATACTATTACAATCCATCCTAAACTAACTTCTTCATCATCTTGGACCCAGAAGCATGCGCCTGGAAACGTCACGAGGGAGATGATGCGAGCGGATTCTGACAAAGAAAATCGAAAGATTGCGGCAAAGAGGCGCAAGGTTGACAATGCCTACAGCGAGGTTGTTATACTCAGGTCTTACTATGACCCGCCCTTCCATGGAAAAGACAAGAAAGGACAGCCTGATGTAAGCTCACCTTTCTTTATGTTTTATGTCTCCTTTGTTATCCAATCTCATCATCTCTTATCCGTCTGCATCTAGGATCCAACCAAGGCGCCTCTCTCGTACCCGTGTAAATTCTGTGAAAGAGACAAGCACAATCCAGTAAGGGTGAGCTTAAGCAACCTCACTGGAAATCTTCGAGTCCATCGAGATGGTTCCACTCAAGACGGTCGATCGGATGTTGGATGCCCTGGCCGACTCAAAGCTCGACAGCAAGATCCTTCTCTCGTTCCCCCCTCAGTCGCAGAAACTCGTAAATCCCAAAAAGCCAAAGGCCCCATCGATGGATATGTAGTCTCCACCCCAGCCACCACATTCTCTAACCTCTCCCTCAACCAAATGGTTTGTACTTGGCTCATTCGCCAAGCTCAACCATGGAATCGGATCAAAGACCCTATCTTACGAGGAATTGTCCAGTACTTACAAAAAGAAGCTCACTTGTACGGTCGACGCTGGGCTGCTGACAAGGCAAAGCAGATCAATTTATCACTCAAACAAAACGTCTTCTCGGAATTGAAGGTGAAAAATTTCTTCATTACCAGATAACCAGCAACTGATCACTGACTTCGTGTTTTTTAATCCTTCCGGGGTCTTAAGTCAAAGTTCAACTTAGTTCACGACGGTTAGACCACCAAGGCAAACCGCCACACATTCATCGGTGCGGCTGTGAGTTTTATAGACAACGACTGGAAGTACTGAGTCCGTCACCTTGCCCTCAAGTTGATAGTATGGCATCACCACGGACCTTGGCTTGCCAAGCCGGTGGTCAACATCTTGGTTAAGCATGGGCTGTTCCAAAAGATCAGTACATTGTTTTTTTTTTCTAATCAAATTTATACTAATGTCTTTTGTTTATTGTTTTACATGTTTAGTCAGACCACTGACTCAGGGTCAAACAACAAGACAATGGCACAGGAAATGCACAAACAATTCCTGGGCCAAGACGATATCACCTCTTACCAGTGGAATCCAAATAGTATGCACATTTTTTGTTTTTGTCACAAGATTGCGTTGATTGTCAACACAGGCTTGGCAGCCTTAGGTGTGAAAGCACCTCCACCTATGAAAGCAAAGCAAAACGATCAAGGACAATTCCCTCTCTTCGAGTCTATTGCTGAAGAAGACGAAGAACTTCCTGAAGAACCACAAGCAACTTCAAAAGCAAATCCAAAAGTTTGTGTGAGATCCAACCTGACTGAAACAGAAGATCAAGTTCCTGAACACGACTTACAAGAGCTGGATACACCACCGGAAGTAATTTCTGAACTTGATGATGAGGGCGAGTGGGACTTGGCTGATGCTGAGGATGAGGCTTGTCCAGAGCTTACACTTGGAGATAAAGAAGCGCAACCCACCCACCGTCGAGAAGCAAATCATGTGGATTTTATTTTACGCAAGGTCAGTTGAACATAACTCCACCTTGTCTTCCTTTTAAACTGTTACTGATTTATTTTTATTTATTTTTGTTTACCACAAGGTGGACTTCATCGTACGCCAAATTACTCGGTCTGCGGCCTGGCGCAAAGAATTCTAGAGAGTGAGTAAGCAGAAGGGGTTCAGTGGCTCGCTTATAGCAGGCTATGGAATCAGATGGAACATTAAATACATCAGCCGTCACAAAGCATGGCTTGCCAGAGATGTAAGTTTTTCCAATCCACTTGTACAATTTAATGATACGAATGTCTGACCATCAACATGATTCGAAGGTGATCGATCAATTATGTTGAGATGACTCGAACAAAGTTCATGCTAAGAACCTACCTGCTCGTAAGAACAAGAAGCCTCACAGCTATTTCCATGAGTTAGAGATGACTACAACCAAATGGGCTCAAGTTCGCAAGATCAACGATGAGCTTGAGGTAAGTGTCATCATTTGTTTTAACTTATTATTCATTTACATTATCTATTCTTTCTCCTGATTCATTCATTTTCCCCTTCTGTCCATCTTATCTCACATTATCTATCCAAGCCTTTCTTGAAGACGACCCTTGCTATGGAAGGTGACGGACCAACAGGTTGCACTACAAAAATTGTAATCTTTACCGGGCGGTAAAGAAAACTACTGACGTAGAAAACTCCTGAGGCAACAGGAAGAGAGCTAAAAATCTGAAAGAATATGCACCTTGTTCCTAGGTGTTGGGGCGTCATGATGAGTATTTTCCTGTATTTTACACACAGATATTGGTTAATGTACTAACAATAAAGGCTGAAAATCATCAACAACCCACCTGTAACAGTACCTGAAATTTGGGTCATGATTATGAAGACAAATATTTTGTGGTCTAAAAACTTCAATAACTTTTGCAATTTTGCTCCAAATAACTTGATTATTGGTTCATTCAAAAGCTTAACAATTCTTCTTTACGCGTCATAAAGGTAGTAGGGTGTTATCTGGTAATTTAAACGCTCTACA